CTTTATTGGCTGAATCTTAACCTTTTTATAATCACCCAAGGATATGTTTATTGGTTTTAGAGAGAGAGCAACACTGACGTGAGAGAGAACATTCATTGGTTTCCTCCTGTATGTGCCCTTGACTGGAAATTAAACCCACAGCCTTCTGGTGTACAGGAGGATGCTCCAACCAGCTGAGCCACCTGGCCATGGTTGGATCTTGACTTTCTAGAATCTAGTCTCACTATCTCCTGTTATTTGAGTTGGGGATGTATTTCATTCATATTTAATATGGATATACTTGCTTTTTATATCTGTTACTTGTTTTTGTTTTTATCATAGCCAAAGAGATTCCTTCCTCTTTTTTTGAGTTACATTTAAGTGGTTGCTCTGGGGGTGATAATATGCATCAACTTATCACAAAATAATATTTAATTCTGGTTGTACTAACTTTGTTTTAGTATATCTTCTTTGTGCTGTTAGTGTCATTTGTTATATCTGTATGTTACAATTCAGCAATACAGATAACTACTGCTTTATATAATTTTATATCCGCAGTCTTTGGGAATGTCTCTGTTTTGCCTTTTAAAAAAGAATAGTTTTGCCCTGGCTGGCGTAGCTCAGTGGATTGAGTGCGGGCTGTGAACCAAAGCATCGAAGATTCTATTCCCAGTCAGTGCACATGCCTGGATTGCAGGCCACGGCCCCCAGCAACCACACATTGATTCTCTCTCTCTCTCTCTCTCTCTCTCTCTCTCTCTCTCTCTCTCTCTCTCCCTCTCCCTCTCCCTCTCCCTCTCCCTCTCTCTCTCTCTCTCTCTCTCTCTCTCTCCCTCTCTCTCTCTCCCTCTCTCTCTCCCTCCCTCCCCGCCCCCCTTCCCTCTCTAAAAATAAATAAATAAAAGCTTAAAAAAGAATAGTTTTGCTGAATATAGAATAATACATGGTCAGGCAGTTCTTTTCTTTAGTCACTTTGAATATGTTATCCTACAGACTCCTGATGTCCATTATTTTTGATAAGTCAGCTGTTATGGTCTTCTTTGGTGACTGGTTACTTATCTCTTGTTTTTTTTTTTTTTTAAATATTTTATTTATTTATTTATTTTAGAGAGGAAGGGGGGGCAGACAGACAGACAGACATACATCAATGTGTGGTTGCTGGGGGTTATGGCCTGCAACCCAGGAATGTACCCTGGCTGGGAATCGAACCTGGGACACTTTGGTTCCCAGCCCGCGCTCAATCCACTGAGCTACACCAGCCAGGGCTTATTTTGTTGTTTTTAAGATACTTTTCTTAGCCTTCTCTTTTAGTAGTTTGACTATGATATATTTAGGTGTAGATATCCTTGTGTTTTTTCTACTTGGTTTTTCTGAGCTTCTTGGATCTGTAAATAAATATTTTTCATCAGATTTGAGAAGTTCTTGACAATTATTTCTTCCAGTATACTTAACTACCCTTTATTTTCTCTCTCCTCCTTCTGGAGTTGTCCTTTCACATATGTTGGCACACTTGGTGTTGATCTGGTCTCTAAGGCTTTGTTTCTGGTTCTTGTTGTTCTCTCTTCAGATTGAATAATTTCTGTTGATTCTTTGAGGTCGCTGAATTCTTCTACCATCCCAAATCAACTGAATTTTTCACTTCAAATCACTTTATTTTTCAGCACCAAATTCTAATTTGATCTCTCATATACTCTGTTTTAGTTGAGATCCTGTATTGCATTATTTTCATCAAAACTTTTGTTAAAATTGTTTTAGTTTATTGATTTTAGAGAGGAAAGGAGAGAGAGAGAGAAACAGGGATTTGTTGTTCCACTTGTTTATGCACTCATTGGTTGATTCTTGTCTGTGCCGTAAGGATTGAACGTGCAGCCTTGCTGTATTGGTACAGTGCTCTAACTAAATGAGCGCTATCCCTAGGGTTGTTTTAGTTAATTCTTTAAACATGACTTCCATTAGTTCTTAGAACACGTTCATAATAGCTGCTTTTAGGTATGATAAATCCAGTATCTGGAGTAGATACACAGTTCGTGTTTTCTTCCTCACCTTGGGCCTCCCTTTCTTGTTTCTTTGTGATTTTTTTTGAATTTTAGCTAATATTACAAATAGGGAGTGTGATTAACTTTGTAGAGGGTGGTTCTTGCTTTGTTTTATAACTTGCCTCCAGTAAGGAGGCAAGTTATAAGAATACGGAAGCTCAGAGTTGGCCTAACATAGACTCCTCAAGTTTCTTTGCTCCATGCAAAAACACTAGGGTCAGCCAAATCTCTATGATTGACCTGGAGTCCTGGTGTGTGTCTCCTCTTCTGCAGCTTGGCGATGTCTTTGGCACTCATTATAGGCTGCCTCTGGAAATGTCAGTGTTTTCTCTTCAGATGTCAGTCACTACAGAGAGCCTTTACTGGTCTGAGGAGACAAGTAAGATAGAGTTTTTGAGTTGGGCTGCTGTAAGAAGCAAATGCTTGGTGATCATAGTTGAAACCATTCACATGCACCAAAACCATTTGGTGTACCTATGCTGAGTAGATCTGAGAAATTTTTGTTGTTTTTGTTCATTGTTTTTTACCAATGAAGGAGTGAGTCTCTCAGCAGGGACTCTAGCACTGTCCAGCAGCAATCCTAAAAGTCCAAGCACTAAGTTGAGTTACTAATTCCAAACAATTTTGCAAGTTAGTCAACCAATAAAGAACAAAATGGCAATAAATGGCCTCTGAGAAGTAAGTACCTAAGTTCATGTTCATGCATTTGTCTTTCTGTAAGAATATGGTTGCCAAACTTCCCAGTTTTGTGTGGTGTTTGTTTCTGTTACATTTCATTTTGGTTAGTTATTAAAATCATTAGCCAAATGTACAGTAAGAGGAGCCTGGTGAGTTCTGAGTGAGCTGGGGTTTTGCATGAGCTGTTGTTCTGGGTCTGTGCCTGTTCCTGTCTGCTTTGCCCACAATACCAGGCATAGTCCAATTGGAATCACTAGGTCAAGAACTACATTAAAAGGAGTTTCTGTATACACTCACATATTTATGCCAGTTTCTGTGGAGTATGGAGTCAACATATTTTGACTTCCTAAGAAATGACATGTAGATGGAAAGACAGGAGTTGCTGATGGAGAAAAATGGAAGTGGAAATAAGTATTTAGGTTTCAAGTTTGCAAGCTTTAAAGAATGCGGAACGTAGCCCTGGCTGGCGTAGCTCAGTGGATTGAGCTCGGGCTGCCAACCAAAGTGTCGCAGGTTCTATTCCCAGTCATAGCACATGCCTGGGTTGCAGGCCACGGCCCCCAGCAACCGCACATTGATAATTCTCTCTTTCTCCCTCCCTTCCCTCTCTAAAAATAAATAAAAATAAAATCTTTAAAAAAAAAATGCGGAATGTGAGGAGCACAAGAGGATTCATAATGATGAAGATAAGATTGTACAAGGTTAGTAAGCAAATTAAGATTTTGGCTAATGGAATTTGAGGAAAAATTAGCTATATGTTTATTTTTTCTAAAGTGATCACCTTACTCATCAATAAAAGCAGCTCTTGTTTGTATTTGACTTTTTTAAATCTGCATCATACCATTCCTCAATATTATATATCTCTGGTGAAATTTTTACCATTCACTTTGCCTTTGCTGAGAACCTGCCACAAACTGTCAACTCCTCCAGTTACAAAATTACAGCCTGAAAAAGTTCTACAGTCTGGTCAAATGCACTGATACCAAAACAATAATTGATAAATTATAATGAAAAAATAAACTATTACAACAAAAATGAAAAGTCCCTGATACGTCTAGAGGTGGGCAGAATTTGCTTAAGAACTATCAAAAGCTGATGAGGAATGTGTAATAAGACTTAGACATAATATGTATCTGGATATACTGATTCAAGAGATTGTCAGTTAAAATTCTCAAGCTAATTAAAATAATGTTTTTAAGCTTGGAGTATTGATTTCAGAATTCATCTCAAATATTGGGGGAAACATTGCCAAGAGAATAGCGAAAAGGATAATGAGGGGAAACTTTGGAACTGTAACATTGAAATACATGTTATAAAGAAATTAAAGTAGTGGAGTACTGGTGCAAGAAGCAGCAGATCAGTGGACAAGAACAGAAAACCAAGAAATAAACATAACCTGCAAATTTAATGCACAGTACAATGACATTTTAAACCAGGTGAGAAAAGATGGTTTGCAACACATGAATCACCATTTTTTAAAGGTCCTTAAATGTTATACCATGCTCCTCCAAAATAAATCTTGGATTAATTAAAGATTTAATTGGGGGAAATAAAAGTAAAGAAAACGGAGCTGTAAAGCTGGGACAAAGGATTTAGAGGCATGCGAAAATGTGCTTTCATTTCATCTAGAGAAGGTGTATTTGTTTCTCATAATTTTGCACTTGTATACACATTTTTCCACAATCTGTGAAACAATGAAAACCTCTGTTGTTGATCCGCCAAATTCCTTGGAGAATGGCTGGGCCCAAAGGGATGTGGAAGAGGAGTAAAGTGAGGGACAAGATGATGTAGATACATAGGGGAGCTTTCTGGGCTGGAGGCCTTCAGCACCCTCAAATTCCGCACCACTCTAGCCCCAAGAAGTAAGCAGAGACAGCTTTCCACTGGGGTGAATATAACTTCTGCAGATTTGTGGGAAACACTGGCAAAACCCACCAGTGTATGAACAGAACCCCACAGGCTGCAAGCCATCGCTGAGTTTTTAAAACCTCGGCACCCTGCACACGTGTTCTAGGTATCCGGCTGTAGGGCTTGTGCGCACGCGTGGGGATGAGCTCTGAAGGGCCCGTGTGCAGTAGTGTTTGTGCGTGATGGGGTTGCTCGGTTACAATAATTCTGGGCTGAAAGGTTCTAAACCGCCTTTCTTCTTTGTTGGAGTGTAGAAGAGTTGGAGTGGCGAGTGGCGGTTGGTTTATCTAGAGCGCTAGTGAGGCGTTTGGCTTATCTAGAGCGATAGTGTTGGGCTCAGGAAGCGGTGGAAGGTTAAGGGGAAGGTGAGGCTTCTCTGAAGCTCTTAGGCTAACTGAGATGAAGTTTTTTGGCTTTGAGGGTAAGAAGGGCTTGCCCACCAGCCCAGAGAACAAGAGGGTAGAATTTACCTCGCCGTACGGGTACCAAATCCAAGAAAAAGATCTGGGAAAGATCCACAGAGCTGCCACGATGGGCAACGCAGCGAAAGTGCGGCAGATTCTGTTGTTCCGCAGAAATGGCGTGAACGATACAGACAAGATGAACAGGTAATAGGGACTGCGAGGCCGGCGGCCAGGGCGGGGGTCAACCTGGAGGAGGTGGGTGGACCTGGGAAAAGTGCTCACCTGCCCCGCTCCGCCAGGTGGAGCTCAGCCCTCCTGTCACCGAGGGCGCTGCGCTACGGGGTCGAGCACTCAGGCTGCCTTTAGGAGCAGCAAAAACAAAAACTTAAGGACCCACTCATAATTCCTCTCCAAGAACACTTTAGGTATATGCAGCATTCTATATTCGATGTTCACATGTTGTGGGAAACTCCGTTCTTCTCACCCATGCAGTCAAGAATCAAAGCGGATTAGTAGATAGGTAGAGTTTATTAGACAGGTTCTTGTGGAAGAGGATGGACCTTGGGAGGTGAGGAGAAAGTCATGGGTAAAGGGCAAGGCAACCTCTTCCCTTGGCCTTTAAGATCTCTTTAAGGTCCTTTGTCCTGAGGGCTTATATAGTTGGTGGGAGGGTTTGAGGGAGTTGCACATTGATTGGTGGGTAAAGGTGGTGCCAGCTCCCCGCCCCCCATCAACATACCACCTAAACATACACACGTGTGGAGGGTTGTTAGCCCAGATTCTGATCTTGCTCCAGACAACCTCCTGTCATCCTTTGTAAAACACATAGGTCCTCTTGTTATCCCTTGTAAAACAGGTGACCAGAGGCAAATAATCAAAGTTAGATTAGTTAACTAAAGTTATTTATGGGCTTTTTCTTTGAGCACTGTGGACCCTCTCCCACCTTCATCCTCCTGCATTTTCTAACTTCTACCTAATAGTGCTGCATACTATACAAAACTGGATAATAGAAATAATTTCCATAATAGATCAACTTCTGGACTAAAAATTCTTGGGATAAAATCCAATATCCATTTTATATCAGTGTACACCAATGTATGAGGTCTGTCCATAAAGTATCCAGCCATGTACTATGAAAAATAGAGATTTATTGAAGAAGATACAAGAAACATTGGACACAGGACAATGACATCTCAGTCCCCTTCAATGTTGTCACCTTGAGAAGTCACACACTTCTCCCAGCATCTCTTCCACTGTTCAAAACACAAAATCCTTTGTTGGAATTGCCATCAGCTACCCAGTCGTATTTTCCTGAATCTCATCAGCACTACGTGAAATCTCTGTCTTTTCAAAGGTGATTTGAGTTTTGGGAAAAGCCAGAAGTCTCAGGGCACCAAATCTGGGCTGTAGCGGGGCTGAGTCACCTGGGTGTATGGCCATAAAACTCTACATAAGATGTGATGCATGAGTGGGTGTGTTGTTGTGATGAAGCTGTCAATTACCAGTTGCCCATACCTACAGCCATTGTTGTCATGTTGCATCTCTCAACCGATGAAGAACTTGGAGGTGGTACTCCTTATTAATTGTTTGGCCTGGAGGGGCATACTTGTGATGGACAACATCTTCCCAAACAAAAAACACAGTTAATATGGTCTTGATCTTGCTGTGACTTCACTATGCCTTCTTCCAGTGTGGAGAAGCAGGCAACTTTCATTGGGATAACTGAGCCTTCATTTCTGGATCTTGCGCATAGCCATAGACCTATGGTTCATCTTCAGTTATGACCTTCTGGAAGAAAATGGTTAAATGATAGCAGTTTAAATCAAGTGATTAGCAACTGCAAGCACAATGTTCCTCCTGATCTGGTATCAGAAACTATGGAACAAATTTTGCCATGCCATGTTTTATGCAAGATCCTGCATCAAAAACTCAGAGTAGTTTTTTGAATCCCTAGGTTAGCTTCTAGTTCTTGCACTGTCACTCCCAGATCTTTGTTGAATGTTCAACATTCTCAGGTGATCTGCTTGTTGCAGGCCTTCCAGAACGTGCATCACTTTCAACAGATTCTCAACCATCTTTGAAGTGTTTGTGCCACACCTTTATTTATGCTGCTTCGTCTCCAAAGCATTCCGAATCATCCAAACAGTTTCCGCAGAGGAATATTTAAGCTTAAAGCAGAATTTGATGCAGATTCATTGTTCTACTCCCTCAGTGATTTTGAATGTGATGACCACACAGTACACACTCTCACTCAATGGTGTCTACTGACCCCACTGACTAGTACAGAGAAGTCATCATTGTTCATGCATAGGCATTCCAGTCCACTCTCCTTGGCTGCCAGGTTACGCTGCTGATGTTGCACAAACTGTTCTTGTTAAATTAACAATGGCTGGACTTTTTCTGAATAGACCTTGTGTATTTTTTAAGTTGGCAAAGACTACAATAGCAAAATTTCTGGAGGTTGACTGTGCAATATAAAAAAATTAAAAACTGTCTATCAGAAAGTAATATTTTTTGTTTTTTAGTTCAAATTTTAATATGTTAGCAAATAGGTGGGTTTTTTAAAATTGTTTATGTTATGTCAGTTGTCCCAATTTTTCCCACCTATGCCCCCTCTACCATGCCCATTCTGCTTCCATAGTTATTCCCCACACTATTGTTTATGTTCATGGATCCTTCATATATGCTCTTTGACTAATTCCTTCTCCTTTCAAACAATCCCCACCTCGCTCCTCCTCTCTTACACCTGTCAATTTATTTCACAATTCTATGCCTCTTGTTCTATTTTGCCCATTAGTTTATTTTGTTCATTAGATTCCTCTTATAGTGAGATTATATGGAATTTGTCTTTCAGCGACTGGCTTATTTCACTTAGCATAATAGTCTGTAGTTCCACTGATGCTGTCATTAAATGTAGGAATTCCTTTTTCTTTCTGCTTTGTGGCATTCCATTGTGTATATGTACCAGTTTTCTAATCCACTCATCTACTGATGGGCACTTAGGCTCTTTCCAACACTTAACTATTGTAAATAGTGCTGCTATGAACATAGGGCAGCATAAATTATTTTGAAATGGTGTTTCAGCACACTTAGGGTATAATCCCAGCAGTGGTATTGTTGGGTCAAAAGGCAGTTCTACTTTTAATTTTTTGAGGAAATTCCATACCATTTTCCACAGTAGCTGCAGTAGTCTGCATTCCTACCAACAGTGCACTAGGGTTTTCTTTTCTCCACATCCTCACCAGCACTTGTTGTTTGTTGATTTATTAATGCAAGCCATTTTGATAGGTGTGAGGTGATAACTCATTAGGTTTTAATTTTCATCTCTCTGACGGTTAGTGATGTTGAGCATCTTTTCACATGTCTATGGGCCATCTGTATGTCATCCTTGGAGAAGTGTCTATTCAGGTCCTTTTCCCATTTTTGAACTGGATTGTTTGTGTTCCTGGTGTTGGGTTGTATGCATTCTCAATATATATTTTCAAGATTAAACCCTTCTCTGATGTACTGTTGACAAATATGTTTTCCCATATAGTCAATTTCCTATTCATTTTAATGGTGGTTTCTTTCGCCATGCAGAAGCTTTTCAGTTTGATGACCCATTTGTTTATTTTTTTCCTTGCCCTTGGTGATACATTGGAAAAAATATTCCTATGTGAGATGTTTGAAATTTTATGATGTATGATTTCCACTAGAATTTTTATGTTATTAAAACTTATATTTAAGTCTTTCATCCATTTGGAGTTTATTCTGGTGTATGGTGTAACCTGGTGCCCTCATTTCATTGTTTTGTATGTACTTGTCCAATTTTCTGAACACCATTTATGGAAGAGACAGTCGTCTTTCTCCCATTGTATATTCTTGCCCCTTTTGTCAAATATTAATAAATCATATAGACATGGATTTATTTCCAGGCTCTCTATTCTATTCCATTGACTTATGTGTGTATTCTTATGCCAGGACCAGAATGTTTTGATTAGAGTGGGCTTGTAGTATTGTTTGATGTCAAGTACTGCCATCTCTTCAAATTGCTCCTCTTTCTCAAGGTTGCAGAGGTTATTCAGAGTCTTTCTGGGTTCCAATACATTTTTGGAATATTTATTCTAGTCCTGTGAAATACATCATTCGAATCCTGATAGGAATTGCATTGTATCTATAGTTTGCTTTGGGTAGCATGGACATTTTAATGATGGTAATTCTTCCTATCTATGAACTCGGTATATACTTCCATTTATTTGTGTCTTCCTCAGTTTCTTTCTTCCGTGTTTTATAGTTTTCCAAGTATGGGTCTTTTACCTCCTTGGTTAAATTTATGCCTACGTATGTTTTTCTTTTGTTGTTGCTGTAGTAGAAGAGTTCTTCTTAGTTTCTCTTTCTGGTAGTTCATTGGTGGTGTACAAAAATGCCATCGATTTCTGAATGTTGGCTTTGTATCCTGTTACTTTGCCAAATCCACTTATTAGGTGAAGTAGTTTTTTGGTGGAGCCTACAGGGTTTTCTATGTACACTGTCATGCCGCCTGTGAATAATCACCCTTCACTTCTTCCTTTTCAATTTGGATGCCCTTTCTTTCTTCTGGTCTGCTCACCATGACTTGGACTTCCAGTACTATGTTGAATGACAGTAGTGAAAGCAGAAACCCTTGTATTTATTATTACTTCTCTTAATGTAAGGCACCATGGATGGTATGAAGTCCAGTATTTTATCTACCAATAAGAATTTTTTTTAAAATGCTGCCAATCATAGTTGTGAGACACTCTGAATTAAATTGCATTCCAATGTCAGAGACATTAAAATGCAAGAAAATAAGCATCTTAGAATTATTGAAATATAGTGTACTTTCTAATTCTTAAAACACATCTGCAAAGTAGGTATAATGATATCATTTTACTTAGTTGAAATGTCTTTTTTAAAGTTGCACTAAGAGTAATAATTATAATAACATAATCTAACAATTATCAAGACTTTTTGTGCTAGGAACTGTAGTGAACACTGCATAGCTTTTTATTTCAGCAAACAATAGTGTTCTCTGAAATAACTACTGTTTTTAGCCTCCATTTTCTTGATGAGGAAATTGAGGCACAGAAAGGTTAAGTGATAGCTCAGGCATGGCAGAGTTAAAATAAGAGCAGACTGAAGCTGAACTCAATGCCCAGGTAATGCTGTCTCTATTCAGATAGTCTGCTCCTTTGTTAATGTGGTGAGTAACAAGATTTAATAAATACTGTACTGTCTCCAGAAGAAGTCTAACTAATTGTTTTGAGAGCATAGGGATAAGTTTTAGTGTTTACAATTACATGAATAATTGTATGTTTTGAGATAGAGAATGATTGTATGTTTAGGTTCCTAAAAATTTTTCTCACTTTCACAGGACTGCCCTACATTTGGCCTGTGCCAGTGGTCATGCGGCAGTGGTAACTGTCTTAGCAAAGAGAAAATGCCAGTTGAACCTTGTTGACAATGAAAATAAGACAGCTCTGATAAAGGTATATAGTAGCCAACTATGTCAACATAAGATGGATTTGATTTACTTATTAGAATAAAAATGAATTTATATCTCTGGCTGGTGTAGTTCAGTGGATTGAGCTCTGGCCTGAAAACCAAAGGGTTGCTAGTTTGATTACCAGTGAGGGCACATGCCTGGGTTGCAGGTGAAGTTCCCAGTAGGGGAGCTCAAGAGACAACTACAGATTGACGTTTCTCTCTTTCTCTCCCCCTCCCCTCTCTAAAGATAAAATAAATGAAATCTTTAAAAAAATGAATTTATATCACTAAACTATAAACTATTGGTGAAATTGTAGAATGTTTACTTTGAATTCCTAGAATTTACAATCTCTTTCTTGGTATAATACTGACAGGCTGTACAATGCCAGGAAGAAGAATGTGCAACTATTCTGTTAGATCGTGGTGCAGACCCAAATGTAGTGGATGCTGATGACAACACTGCTCTCCACTACGCTGTCCTTGGTCACAATACATCCATAGTAAGAAAGCTGCTTGCACACAAGGCAAATATGAAAGTGATAAACAAGGTACAGATCAATGAACTTTCTTTACAAAATATTTGAAATACATGTTCTCATTTTAGCCATAAGCATTTTCTTTCTCACATATGTATACTGAACACAATATAGCAGGCCCTGTTACCATGGAAACAACTCCACAGCCATGTGGTGTCCATGGAAAGGGCCAAGCTCTGCCTCCAGCTACCCTTCAGCCCAGAAGGAAAAGCTTCCTGTTGGTGCCTGGGAGTGGGTGATAGGCTCAGAGCCCACAAGGGGCTGAAAGCCTGGGGAGAGTGAAGTGAGGGTGGGGGCTGGCTACTGTGCAGGCAGGGGCTTAGGAAACTGGTGCTGCTGGGAGTGAGTGAGAGGAGGAGGCCTAGTACCCAGCAGGGGGAGCTGGGTGAGTGGGAGTGGGAAGGGGGAGCAGAAGTCCACAGGCCCAGAACACTTCAGGACCCCAAAGTGCTGACCTGTGGCAAGAGAGCTGGGTAGTATCTTGACATTAGCAAAGTCATCCGGTCCAGCTCATAGCCACTCTGCCAGCCACGTACCTCCTTGGGGTTTTCCACATCAGAGTGTAGCTTCTGCTCAGCCTCGTGTAGCTCTTCAGAGGGGTTGTTGTTGTACATAGGGCACAGGTGATGGCAAAGCAGTTCACTCGCTTTTTCTCCTGGGTGTATATCACCTCTTGCCACTGTAACATTGAAAGTAAATCAAGTATATTATATGTTTATGTTCAGAGCTTTTTAAATAACTTTTAAAATTCAGTTTGGATATGTGAAATTTTATAAGTTATAATTGTTTTTGCTGCTTTATAGGATGGCTTCACACCACTTTCACTTGTTGCAAGTGACAACAATGAGGACATGGTGGTATTTTTGGTAAAGGAAATTCTATGCTCCAAGCAGTTGGAAAGGTACAGTTAGTTGTACACCTTTTTAAAACCTTAGTATTTTTCTAGAGTGGTGCAATCACTGATGTCAACAGAAATCTGAATCACCTCTGGCCAAGAAGGCGGCATAGGTAGATACACTTTGTCTCCTTGCACAACCAAAAGAAGGACAACAACAAATTTAAAAACAAAAAATAACCAGAACTGTCAGAAATTTGAACTCTGTGGAAGTGCATCAACTGAAATGTTAAAGAAGAAACATTAATTCAGAATGGTAGTTGAGTGAAGATGGGCAGTTGGGGTAGAGAGGACACACAGGAAGGCAGCAGCCAGATGACTGGGATGGCAAGGTGGCGGCTGGGGCATCCCAAGGTTCTAGCATGGGGAAATAATACCTCAAAACTATTGCCTGTAAAATTCTTTGGGATTGCGGCAGTGGAAGAAATCCCAGGCTCACAGGAGAGTTTGTTGGAGAGATCCACAGGGTCGTAAAATATACACAAACCCACCCACCCGGGAATCATCACCAGAGGGGCACAATTTGCTTTTGGGTGGTGTAGGGTAAGTGACTGAAAACTGGCTGAGAGCCAAGCAAGTGGCACTGTTTCCTCTTAGACCCCTCCCCCATGTACAGGGCTACAACACAGCAACTGGTTTGCTCTGCCCTTGGAAATACCTAAGGTTATGCCCCTTACAACATAACAGCTGCACTGTTATGGCCCAAATGAAAGAACAGATCAAAGCTCTAGAAAAAAAAATACAATTAAGCAATGAAGAGATAGCCAACTTATCAGAGGCAGCATTCAAAACACTGCTAATCAAGGTGCTCACAGAAAAGGTTGAGTATGGTTGCAAAATGGAGGAAAAGGGGAAGGCTATGCAAAGTCAAATGAAGAGAAATGTGCATGGAACCAACAGTGAAGTGAAGGAAACCAGGACTCAATCAACTATTTGGAGCAGAAGGAAGAAATACACATTCACCCAGAACAGAATAAAGAAACAAGAATTCAAAAATATGAGGAGAGCCTTAGGAACCTCTGTGACAACTTTAAATGTTCCAACATCCAAATCATAGGGGTACCAAAAGAAGAAGAGAAAAAGCAAGGAATTGAAAACTTATTTGAACAACTAGTGAAGGAAAACTTGGCCAATCTGGCAAAGGGAATAGAGTTCCAGGAAGTGCAGGAAGCCCAGAGAGTCACAAAGAAATTGAACCCAAGGAGAAACACACTAAGACACATCATAATTAAGTTAGCCAAGATTAATGATAAGGAGAGAATCTTAAAAGCAGCAAGATGAAAGGAGAGAGTTACCTGCAAAGGAGTTCCCATAAGAGTATCCCGTAAGAGCTGATCTCTTAAAAGAAACCTTGCAGGCAAGAAGGGGCTGGAAAGAAGTACTCAAAGTCATGAGAAGCAAGGACCTACATCCAAGATTACTCTATGCAGCAAAGCTATCATTTAGAATGGAAGGGCAGATAAAGTGCTTCCCAGATAAGGTCAAGTTAAAGGACTCCATCATCACCAAGCCCTTATTATATGAAATGTTAAAGGGGCTTGTCTAAGAAAAAGAAGATAAAAAATATGAACAGTACAATGAGAACAAACTCACAACTATCAGTGAGTGAATCTAAAACAAAAACAAAAACAAAAGAAACAACAAATTAAGTAAACAACTAGAATAGGAACAGATTCACAGAAATGGAGATTGCACGGAAGGTTACCATCGGGGGTCGGGAGGGACTGAGAATGGGGGAAAAGGTATGGGGTATAAGAAGCATAAATGGTAGGTACAAAATAGACAGGGGGAGGTTAAGAATGGGAAATGGGGAAGCCAAAGAATTATATGTACAACCTGTTAACGTGAACTAAATTGGTAGAATGCGGGTAGGAGGTGGGGGTGCAGGTTGGAAAAATGGGACAACTATAATAGCATAATCAATAAAGTGTATTTTTAAAAAATTAAAAAAGAAGAAGAAAACAAAACTGAAAGCTCTGAATCAAAAGTAGGTTATTGGCATTAGAATTTCTAAGGCCCCATCTATGACTCATTAGTATCCATGTGTGACAAGTAGGATTATATGTTCAAGTCAGTTGCAGGTGGACAGGGAGATTAAGCACCATTCTCATAAAGACCTGCTGGTTCAGAGTTTTAACTGCTGGAAAGCGGATAGTAGTAGTCCTGGGCAGGTCCTCACTTCTCTTAGTTTTCTGCCCTTAGTATGATTAGCTAGAATAATAGAAGAGAATTTTGTTATCTGTTTTACTGAATTAATGTATTTATAAATAAATTTAGTTGCAAGTTATATAAGAGCTGAGGTGCTGTGAAATACAAACCACAAAGAATTAATAGCTAATAACTAAAATTAATAACATTTTCTGAAATCTGCAACATATGAATGTTAGAAGGTATGAAAAATTTACATTGGGGGGTTTTTGGGATTCCAAAATAGGTTCAACGAATAAAGTTCATGAACAGATTTTTCTTTTGCTATACTGTTTCTCTGAACATCTCTTTTTGGTATATTGTCTCTTTTAATTAGTCATTCTAACAACCTTGTAAAATAAGACAGGAAGATTCTTATTTTGTGGAGGAAGAGAGACTTGTTTGAGAACAAGGAACTGTTGTTACAGTGCTAGGACTTTTGGGTTCAAGACACTTGCCATTAATATGTTGATCTTACTCTCATTAATTTACATAACTACTGACCTCAAATCATGACTGTTTCACATTACTTTTTTTCTTAATAAATTGTAGAATTTGAAGTGTATGGTATAAAGCTTTAGTATTAGCTCTGATATTATTTGCAATACTCTATGAATTTAATATGCAGGGTCTGGCAGAGGTAGCACCTGCTTGAGGGTAGTTGGTAGGGTAATAATATGGGTGTAGTAATTTCTAGTTTTAATTTGAACATTTTACCTAAAATGTCATATGCAGTGCTTGAGTGTGATATTGTTATGTTATAGGATTACATGTTTATGATTGCATAATAAAATATTTTGTAATAAGATGGGGCATTATTACTGCCAGACTGTGTATTTGGAAATTATCTTTTATATCAGCATTAAGATAGTAATGTTATTTCTCACTTCTTTTTAATACACAGCAATCATCAACAAACTTTTGTATATAAAACAGAAGGCAGACCTGAAAGTCTTTCTGAAAGTAGCAGAAGCCTTGGTAAGTCTTCTGATAATGAATTATTCTTGATGATCCTACCATAGATAAGAGTAAAGAAGTTTTGATAATGAAAAAGCAGTGAAAAAAAAAAACTCCCAGTAAATTGCATGTATAGTTTGGTTTTTCTTAATTTCTTTCTTAATAGAATGGTATTCAGTATTACCTAGAAAGCTAACTGTAGGCAATTTAAAATCTGGGGAAATATTGTCTGAAAAGAAGTTCATTTATTTAGTCGTTACCCCTAAAATTCCTTATGATATCTTCACATAAGAAAGAAAAAAGACTTTTAAGTTAGGATGTTGTATATTTCTTCTACAATCACTGAATAACAAATTGGACTTGTTATTTTAAAAAATGGATGTTTTCTTTAGTTTTCACAGCAAACAGTACTTTTAAAATTTTAGTTTTCCTCTGTTGATTTATTTTATTTTATTTTTTTTTAAAGATTTTATTTATTTATTTTTAGGGAGGGAAGGGGGAGAGAGAGAGAGAGAGAGAGAAACATCAATGTGCGGTTGCTGGGGGTTATGGCCTGCAACCCAGGAATGTACCCTGGCTGGGAATCGAACCTGGGACACTTTGGTTCCCAGCCCACGCTCAATCCACTGAGCTACGCCAGCCAGGGTTCCTCTGTTGATTTAAACTGTATTTTACGTTTTTCTTTGATAGTGGATAAGAAGTCTGAGGAGGACTCTTTGAGAAGGTAGGATTATGGATTTCTAAAAATTATATGTTAACTAAGGGAATGCAGAGAAAAGAAACAAACGTTTCTTGAGTGTTCTGCCCTGGACTGGACACTGTGTTATGTAATCAACACATGTTACATAATCTCCGCAATAGTTTTGCAAAGTAGCTGTGCTCTGATAGCCTACTTTTCATTAATTAGGCAACTGTGGTTCAAGGAGGTTGATTAAGTGACCCATGATTCCATACTTAACAAGTGGCTGACCCATGATTTGAGTGTCGGCTTGCTTAGCTCCCAAATCCATTCCTTTGTCCTTCAATATACACTGGTAAGTTTCTGTGTAGCACTGGGATCAAGATAAACACACAGATCAGTTCACCTCAGAAAGTCAAATCTAGTTGTGTGTTAACTCTGAATTAGAGTTTTCCTAAGAAACCCAGTTAGTCCAAACATTTGTCTTAGGGTCAGGCACAGTAACATCCCCCCCCCACCCCCCGCTTTTTTTTGAAAGATTTTATTGATTTTATTTATTTATTTTTAGAAAGAGGGGAAGGGAGAGAAAGGGAGGGAGAGAAACATTAATGTGTGGTTGCCTCTCACATGGTCCCCACTGGGGACCTGACCTGCAACCCAGGCATGTGCCCTGACTGGGAATTGAACTAGCAACCCTTTGGTTCACAGCCCATGCTCAATCCACTGAGCTATACCAGCCAGGGCGATAATGTCCCTTTTTTATTACAAACTATTTTATTACAAAATCATAAGCATGCCATTCTATAACATAATGATATCACACTCAAAGCATATCACATTATAGTTTAGGAGAAATGTTCAGATTAAAACTATGAATCATCACACCCACCCTTACCAACCACACTCAAGCAGGCATTACTTCTGCCGGACCCTGTACTTGACTATTGCAGTGGTAACTAGTACCTTGTTTTTCCCAAAAAAGATTTTAAGTCACATTACAGTTAGTAATGGCCTCATAACTAACTTCATATAGGTTTTACATAAGGAAGACCTACCTAATCAGGCAAGTGTTTTTGAGCATAATGATATCTATCCTTCTTGATATGAACTATTTTTCTGTAAATGAAGAATATCTATGTATAGACCATGTTATGTCAATTAAATTCAGCATCTATTTAGAGGATATTTCTAATTGATTTCTCTACTCCCTGACCTCCCAGTCTGGTTTTCCTTTCAGGCTACTAACTTTACCGAGTTGTATGAAGTTTCTTCTTTTTTTTCTAGAGTTCTTTTTTATTCCATGACTCTTTTGGGGGGTATTTTTTAACTTTCTTTTCTGCCTTTTTTGGTGTTTCTCTCATGTTAGTTTTTCTACTTCTGCCAGCTGTGTGTTCTCCATTTTCCTATAAAAAGAGTCGAAAGCACATAGAATTTTAGGACTTTAGGGAATCTGAGCAGTTAAATCTGAGCAAATTAATGGCTCATTAATCAAAACATACTCTAATACTTCAACCTGTGTTTAACATCCTGGTCAACTTGTGTTTGACATTCTGGCCAACTGGTTGCTTACATGGAGAATTTGAAACTCAAAGAAACTAAAGTGACTTATTTGAATACGGTAAGTGGTGAAAGTGAGATGTAAACTCAGCCATTTACTGGATTTCTAATTCAGCCTTTAGGGCTTTTGGTGAAAACAAATTAACTTCAGGCTTTGCCAGTATGTTGGCTGTTACCCTTTGTGGGAATTCAGAGTGCACCTTCATTGGATTGTTCACAGGTTGGGCGAGGTGGAGGCAGGGATAGATAACTAAAAGCTTTATTAAAAACAAGCCAAATTTTAATTATATCAAGAAACTTCATTTAATACACAGATAACTGAACTTTCACTCAATTTTTTTGTTGCTTCTTAACAAAATGAACTCATTTTTGTTGGCTATTTTTACTCTTAAGTCTTTCCTCCAAACCTAACATGGATGATTCATGGCCTACAGCAGAAGACGAAGACTTTGATTTTGGTACCAAGGTAAAGTGCTCCTTCTTGCAATTAATTTCCCTGCTCTGAATTTAGTTTTGTGTAACATTACTTAAAAAGTTTAGTAGTGGTCGACTTATCATTGTTTTATATTTGTATTGGAAAAGTGGTCAGAGCCAACCATTTTTGTAGAGATATGAAGTGTTGCATTTTTAAAAAAATTTAAGTACTGAAGGTGGGGGCTGAAAAAGAGAAAGGGCTGGAAAATACATAGTGATAGAATAATTATATGGGGGAAAATTTCCCTCAATAGAGGAGATATAAAATTCAGATAAGGATTTTTAATGTGATTTTTAAATTATATCAGCATGATTTTTTATGATACTCATGCGTAAATGATTCTTTAGTGGATCCAGTTACTTATTGTAATAATCATGAAATCTTCTTGGTGTCTCTGTTCCAAAATTATATATCATATAATATATAGCTTTTTTTCTTCTTAGACTACTTTCATTTTGGTATCATGTAATTATTAGGATAAAGTTTTGTCCATTTCTTACCTGGGTTCCACATTTGAACTGAAATAATATTATAAAATGTGTAAATGTATTTATTTAGTCAGGTTTAAAAAAATAATTACTTTTTAAATTGTATTTTTTCCATTGCCACTTAGACCCTTTACATTCACCACACTGCTGTTCATGTCTAAGAGTCCTTTTACCTTTTTGATTGATCCCTCTACTCCCCAAACTCCACCCCCAGTAGCTGTCATCCTGTTCTCTGTCTATAAGTCTGTCTCTGTTTTGCTTATTAGTTCAGTGTGTTCATTAGATTCCATACATGAGTGAAATCATGTGGCATTTGTCTTTCTCTGACTGGCTTATTTCACTTAATATAATGTTCTTCAGGTCCATCTATGTTGCTTCAAAGGGTAAATATTTTTCTTTTTTATAATGGCCAAGTAGTATCCCATTGAGTAAATGTCCCATAGTTGATTTATCCACTGGTCTACTGACGGACATTTGGGCTGCTTCTCTATCTTGGTGATTGTAAATAATCCACAATGAACATAGAGGTTCTTAGGCTCTTTCAAATTAGTGTTTTGGGTTTCTTTGGATAAATTCCCAGAAGTGGGATTGTTGGGTCAAAGGGCAGATCCATTTTTAATTTTCTGAAATGTCTCCATACTGCTTTCCACAGTGGTTGCACCAATCTACATTCCCACCAACAATGCAAAAGGGGTTCTTCTTTCTCCACATCCTTGCCAGAATTTGTTGTTTGTTGATTTATTGATGATTGCCATTCTGACAGGTGTGAAGTGATATCTCAGTGTGGTTTTAATTTGCCTTTCTCTGATAATTAGTGACATTTAGCATCTTTTCATATGTCTAGTGGCTATCTGTATGTCCTCTTTGGAAAAGTGTCTGTTCAGGTCCTTTGACCATTTTTTAATTGAATTGTTTGTTTTTTTTTGGTGTTGAGTTTTGTAAGTTCTTTATAAATTTTAGTCCCTTATTAGCTTTACCAGTGAATATGTTCTCCCATTCCGTGGGTTGTCTTTTTATTTTGTTGATGTTTTCCTTTGTTGTGCAAAAACATTTTAGTTTGATGTAGTCCCATTTGTTTATTTTGTCTTTTGTTTCCCTTACCTTAGGAGATATATCAGTAAAAATATTGCTACAACAAGCATCTGAGATTTTACTGCCTATGTTTTCTTATAGGATTTTTATGGATTTGGGTATAATATTTAAGCCTTTAATCCATTTTGAATTTATTCTTGTATGTGGTATAAGAAAGTGGTCTAGTTTCATTTCTCTGCAAGTATCTGTCCAATTTTCCAAACACCATTTATGGAATCAACTATCTTTAGCCTATTGTATATGCTTGTTTTCTCTGTTGAATATTAATTGACTATAAAGATGTGAGTTTATTTCTGGGTTCTGTATTCTGTTCCATTGATTTATATGTCTGTTTTTATGCCAATACCATGCTGATTTGATTTCTGTGGCCTTACACTATAATTTGATACTCGGTAGCATGATTCCTCCAACTTTGTTCTTCTTTCTCAATATCGCTGTTACTATGGCTATGTGGGGCCTTTTGTGGTAGCGTGTAAATTTTTGAAATATTTATCCTAGTTCTATGAAATATGTCATTTGAATCTTGATAGGAATTTTGCTGAATCTATAGATTGCTTTGGGCAGCATGGACATTTTAATAATGTTAATTCTTCCTATCCATGAACACAGTATGTTGTTTCACTCATTTTGTATCTTCTTCAATTTCTTCCTTCAGCATCTTGAACTTTTCCAAGAACATGTCTTTGACATCTTTGGTTAGGTTCATTTCTAGATATTTTATTCTTTTTGAAGCAATTGTGGATGGGATTGTTTTCTTATTATCCTTTCCATTGGTTCATTATTATCATATAGTAAATACAAAAATGCAGCTGATTTCTGGATATTAATTTTGTATCCTGCTACTTTGCTGAATTCATTTATCAGTTCTAGTAGTTTCTTGGTGGAATCTTAGTGGTTCTCTATGTACAGTATCATGTCATCTGCAAATAAAGATAATTTTATGTTTTCCTTTCCAATTTGAATGCCTTTTATTTCTTTTTGTCTGATTACTATGTCTAGGACTTCTAGTACTATGTTGAATAAGAGTGGTGAAAGCTGACATCCCTGTCTTGTTCTTGATCTTAAGAGGAATGCTTGTAGTTTTTGCCTGTTGAGTGTGATTCTGGCAGTGGGTTTCTCACATAAGTCCTCTATTATGTTTAGGTATGTTCCCGCTATTCCTCCTTTGCTGAGAGTTTTGATCACAAATGCTGGTGGATTTTATCAGATGCTTTTTTTTTTTTTGCATCTGTTGATGTGATCATGTGGTTTTTATCCTTCATTTTGTTTATGTGGTGAATCACATTTATCAATTTACAAATGTTGTGCCAACTTTGCATTCCTAGAATAAATCCTACTTGATCATGGTGTGTGATCTTTTTGATATATTACTATATTTGGTTTGCTAATATCTTGTTGAAGATTTTAACATCTATGTCCATCAGGGATATTGGCCTATAACCTTCTTTTTTTGCAGTGTCTTTACCTGGTTTTGGAATTAGGATAATGCTGGCTTGGTAAAATGAGCTTGGGAGCCTTGCCTCCTCTTGAATTTTTAAAAATAGTTTGAGGAGAGGTGTTCGTTCCTCTCTGAATGTTTGGTAAAATTCTCCCATGAAGCCATTCAGTCCAGGGGCTTTTGTTTGTTGAGAGTGTTTTGATGACTGCTTCAGTCTAACTTGGTGTAATCTGTCTGTTCAGATTCTCTGATTCTTCCTGACTTAGTTTGGAATTTTGTATGTTTGTAGGAATTTATCCATTTCATCCAGGTTGTTCAATTTGTTGCCATGTAGTTCCTCATAATATTTTCTAATAATCCTTAGTCTTTCTTTGGTGCCAGTTGTTATTTCTCTTTCATTTCTGGTTTATTTATTTGGGTTGTTTCTCTTTTTTTCTTGATGAGTCTGGTTAAAGGTTTGTCTGTCTTGTTTACCTTTACAAAGAACCAGCTCTTGGATTCATTGATCATTGGTGTCCTCTTTTAAGTCTCTATTTCTTTTATTCTGATGTGTACTTTACTTCCCTCTACTTAGTTTGGGCTTTGTTTGTTGTTCTTTTTCAAGTTCCTTTAAGTATAAAGTAAAATTGTTTATTTGACCCCTTTCTTTCTTTCTTTCTTTCTTTCTTTCTTTCTTTCTTTCTTTCTTTCTTTCTTTCTTTCTTCCTTCCTTCCTTCCTTCCTTCCTTCCTTCCTTCCTTCCTTCCTTCCTTCAGATAGGCCCACAGTGCTATGAATTTCCCTCTTAGGATAGCTTTCCCTGTGTCCCACAGATTTTGGATTGTTGTGTCCTCATTTTCATTTGTTTCAAGGAATTTTTTGATTTCTTCCTCAATCTCGTTGTTGACCCATTCATTATTTAATAACATGTTTAGCTTCCATGTCTTTGTGCATTTTTCCATGTTCTTCTTATAATTCATCTCTAGTTTTATAGGATTGTGGTCAGAAAAGATGATTGATATAATTTCGGTCTTCTTAGATTTATTGAGACTTGTGTCCTAACATGTGGTTTATCCTAGAAAACGTTCCACGTACATTTGAAAAGTATATGCACTCTTCTTTTTTCAGGTGAAATGCTCTGAAGATGTCAATTAAATCCATTTCATCTAATGTGTCCTTTAAGGTCACTGTCTCCTTATTGATTTGCTGACTGGAAGCTCTATCCATTGAAGTCAATGGGGTGTTAAGACCCCCTCCCATGACTCTATTTCTGCCAATCTCTCCTTTTATGTCCATCAATATTTGCTTTACAAATTTAGGTACTCTCTGTGTTGGTTGCATAAATGTTTACTAGGGTTATATCCTCTTGTTGAATTGTTTCCTTTATCATTAGGTAGTGTTCTTCTTTGTCTCTTACTATTGCCTTTGTTTTAATGTCTATTTTTTGGGGTATAAGTATTGCTACACCAGCTTCTTTCTCCCTTTCCATTTGCACGAAATATCTTTTTCCCTCCCTTTACTTTTATTCTGTGTGTATCATTCAATTTGAGGTATGTATTTTAGAGACAGCATATATATAAGACAGCATATTTATAGGTCTTGTTTTCTTATCCATTAAGCCACCCTATGCTTTTTTTTGTTGGAGCATTTAAGCCATTTACATTTAAGGTGATTATTGATAGATATGTATTTATTGCCATTTTATTTTTAACAGTTTTGCTCTGTTTTTATTCCTTTTTCTTTTTCATCTTCATAAATCAAACTCTTTAATGTTTGTTACAGTACTAGTTTGGTGTTAACAAACTACCTTAGCTTTTTCTTGTCTGGGAAGCTCTTTATTTCTCCTTCAATCTTAAATGATAGCCTTGATAGGTAAACTAGCCTTGGCTGTAGTCCTTGCTTAATCACTTTGAGTATATTATGCCAATCCCTCTTGGCTTGGAATTTTTTTTTTTTAGATATCTTATAATATTTTTTTAAATTTTATTTTAATC